AAACGTCTTAAACACAATCAAAGAGTAGGTATATTAGGTACGTACACTATCTAATAAATTAATTACTAGTTATTACCTACTTCTTTGTTTTATTTTATTATGATAACCGACCAACGAACGCCGAACGGACAATCTGTTGCATGTCGTTAAGAAAACTGAAAACAAAAGTGTAGAAACAACTGAATCATTTCATTTCATCTGCATCAGCAAAGCAGCTGGCCGGCAGGCGCCAGGATACCGAGATGTGTTTTTTGTTTGTTTTAGTTTTGTTAGCAAGCATAGTAATGTTAAAATATGCTAGAGTTAATATTTGTTTATTTTCTTATTTCTCAATGGGGGGGGGGGGGTTGAACCCCCAAAACCCCCCCTTATCTACGGCCCTGGGCGGTGGCCAAACTTCATCAGTAACTGTAGAAAATTTGCCATGGACTACGACATAGGTACCAAACAATGATATTGTGTCAAGCTGTTATTTTCATCTCATCTCGCCCACTAGCAATTCAGTTTTGTTTCGTTCGAGGCAAAAGTCTCGCATCATTTCGCGTCTTGTTCCAGAGTCTCGCAAAAGTCTCGGAGTCTCGTCGTTCACAATGATAATTTGTGACGGTTCGTATATGTTTCGAAAAATGTATAATAAAAGAGTCATTGGCGTTGCCGGCTATAAAGCGACAACCGAATAAAAAACGGAAGCTGATTTCTTGAACTGACTGATTCACATAAAACTCGAAACTTAAAATTATTTGATGTTGTGAATGTATGAAAATCGTGAAACGTGTAAATTTTTGTTCTTACTTATACAAACTTCCATCGGTATGTAAAAATCAACTTCCTCCTCAACCAACTCTTCAAATTTCAAATGGAAGTGATCCTTTATTAGAAAGGACTTTTCACGCTGTAGGTATGTATTCAATGGTAGTGCTAAACCTAAACCCTAAAAATAATCAGATTTATTAACCTCATTTTACCTTATCTATGGTTGAAACCGAGGTTGAAACTTAAAGTGAACGGCACAACCAACTACTTTTGATAAGTAACTAACAAGAACAGGAAAAAATTATCAGAGACATTAGGTTAACAGCTCGTCATAGTTTTCCGGTGCAAGGCTGCAAGGTGGTGGTCTATGGCTTCCCGGTTACATAACTTGTGCAAGGTCGTAGTGTAGGGTTTCCCGGTTACAACTCTAAGACGTAACCTTATTTGCGGTGCATGGTCGTACCCTTGAACTTCCCCGACTAATGTACATTTATCTTAAATTTGATCAAAATCAGGGAGTATAAGAGACGGCAACGCTACTAAAAAATGACAAATTATTCATTTCAAATTGGTCAGAGAAAGAAAAAAGATACTTGTGAGTGTTAGTTCTCTGAATGACGTTACGTAACGTAACGTTTTTTTCGAGGTTTTTTTCCAATTATTGTTGACAATCCTTATTTTTTAAATTTAGAAGTATTCAACATGCAAAAGGGATTCACATATAATAATTATTGCTTTAGGAAGTGATAAGAGGTTAACGCAACTGACAATACGTTAACCTCAACAGGTGTGCAGGCGATTGAAAACTAACAAGAAATTTACGGAGGAACGTGATTGCAATTGATTATATTTTCTAAAGTAAAATGGGTTCTTGTCTTGCGCCTAAAATCGGTCTAAATAGAATCCAACAATAATTGGAAAATATCGAAGCTTTTCTGTTCACCGCATTGCTTTACTTTTATTCACACTTATCAATAAAACTAATTTAGAATTTTTGTTTCCTTTTTTGCACAATTTGAAATGAATAATATTTGTCTTTTTTTAAGTAGCGTTGTCGTTTTGGCAACCTAACGCTATCTCCTAAAGTATTATTCCGATTTTGATAAAATTTTAGATACGTTGAATCGAAAGTAAGCTAAATAAGATTGCAGAAACATTTTGCCATCCTACAGTATTAATTCGTCGGATAAATCACAGGGTACGACCTTGCACTGCAAAACATGGTCACGTCTTAATTATGTAACGGGACCCAGACCACGACCTGCCACGACCTTATAACGCAAACCAAGTTACGTAACGGAGGAAGCGTCCGATTGGGTTGGAGGGAGGTTAGACGGTGTGATTACCACAGAGTTGATTTTTACATAATACATTTATTCTCTTATAAATTGCGTTTCATGTAGGTATCTAATTATCTTACGACTTCATAGAAAAATTTCGGGAATAGAAGGTTCGGCTGTGCTGTGCCACCAGCTGTTTTTTAGTAATTCTTTCTGAAATAATTAAAAATATCTAGATCGGTGTCAACCCTGGTGTCAACCCTGGTGTCAACTATACGTGTATCTCTTTAAAACGGTAGAATTTGTTAAAATAAGAAATAAAGTATCATAGTGTTTATAGGTAGGTATACCTACCAGTAAATGTCAGGTTTAGTTTAAAAAGTGTTAGTTGTCCGATCAATATCAAATTATTTACCTACTCTGCTATAACAGTATCCTTCCCAGTACTTTTAATTTCCTTCGTATTTACACAAATTTTGCACTGCTTTTGGCCCTTTAAAGTTATGAAAGAGATTATTCTTGTTTGTGAATATCGAAAAAGAATCAATTTCTTCACTTTCACTTACATTTTGGGGTAGGAATGTAAAACCACCACCAGAAAGATTGCAGGAGTTTTTATTTTCACACTAAAAAATCTTCCCTTCCTCTCAGTTTTAATCATATTTATTTTCAAATAGCGGTTGCGTTGCCTCGGAAATTACAATACTTACTTTATAAGTTAAATATAAGAATCATACCTAACCTTATTTTTAACATTCTTGCTAAACATACCTACCGCATGATCTCACAGTTGACTAGAAGTCGGCAATTCCAATTTGCAGAGGACGTAATCAACACATGTCGAAACAGTCCAACAAAATAGTGCTTCTGATGTGTAGGTAGGTATTTTTATACCTACAATGCGATAAGGCTTCAATTTATAAAACAATAATTAATATCTCGCACGAGAGTTGCTGCGAGACTCTCGAAAACGATATTCTGCATCTAAAGGATTGCCGTCAATTACCTACCTATACCTACTCTAGTTGTTGTTACTTGTTACCTAAATCCTAAATCATCTACCTATCTTAATATTGCACGGCACTCTTGTTACTTATTAACGAGCTTATTAATGTATTAGGTACCTACGTACCCACTCCTTCCAGCACCTGAAATTCTGTATAGGTATAGGTTGAATCAGTTCATTATTCCTTCAAAGAGTCTGAACGGCAAGGTGTAAATGCAGTGCCAACAGTTTGAATTTACAAATTTGTACGATGCTCCGGAGGTGCAATGAAGTGAATGAATCCGAATTAGAGCAATGATATGGCAGTAATGACAGTTCAGAGTGGGAAGAAATTTTACTAAAATCGTCGTAATTGACCGTTAACATGCAACACTTCGTTTGCTTCCCTCGCTAAAACTACACCCATACCTATACCTATCTACTTGAAATAGGTACCTACCTAGTTATCCCGTTTTCTACAATTTCTGAGATGTTTTAAATTCCATTCAGTGCAGATGGAGATGGAGTGGACATACCTATATAGGTAACAAAATAATTCTCCTAATCCTACAAGTGAAACACTTTGATCATTTACGGAATACTATTTGCACTGCACGGACTAAGGAATTAGTGAGTGAATTTTATAGAATAAAATTGATTGTACCTAAGTTGTAAGTTTCTATTTGGGGAAATATTGAAAAATTACTTTTACAGCTATCTTTGATTCTTCCCAATGCGCCATTCTGTATAGGTAGAACCATTGCATTGCAATAGACCTTTACTTAAATTAAGCTCTGAACACACATTTCATATAAGTAGATATTATTTCGCGAACAAAATTACAATTCAAATTTCACGAACATATAGGTAGGTACCTACGTAATACAAAGAGGGAATTATACCTACCTATTTCTAAACCACCACTAACTTGTTCACAATACCATCACTTTTAATGAAATAATGCAATAATTTTTGATCTTTTTACCCTCACAACATAAGAAAAACAGTTTGTCATACGTGTTTTCAATATCAATGCTCGAATTCTCTCAGGGGTTTGGTGTTACCTAATACCTTACAAAAAATTCTACACGTCCCACAAAACACCCCATCGGTCATATCGACACCTGCCATTTGCTAAACTACCGGAAACAAAAAATACGCGACGCGGGGTAATTTAGTTAACTATAGGTCGGTGAACAATTATTCAATCAAGTGATGGCAACGTTTAGGGGCATTCTACCAAAATCAACTTTTTATACTTTGTCGCCATACACTTAGCTTTACATTCACCACAATTTTTTTCACTAAATGTGCGGTAGTTCATTAGGGGGAATTTTATATCGTATTACTATCAAAGTAAAATATTATTTTCACTTGATCTGTAGCCTGTAGCTACCTAAAAGAAAACACATAGGTAGATATTGCCCCATAAGTTCATAGAATTAATTATTACAAAGTTTTAAGGTACTTGTTTTTTTAGGATTGATACCTACTGCAAATAAACAAGAAGTTGTTGATTAAAACATTTAAATTAGGAGTTCGGGAGGATAACAAAGTTCGTATTGTCACTTTAAATGGAATATGTCTGATTTGTTCCGCAAACAAAATTGAAATTTAAAATCGGGGAACAATTGGTACGATTACGCTAACGAATCGTTAAATTTGTATGCAACCGGTACGTAGTGTAGCAACGTAGAATAAACTGCTCAGCTGAGCATCAAATCTTAAACAATTCACAACAAATTATCAATTTCTAACCCTATAAGTAACGCCTCGTTCCCCGCTAAAACTCCACCCAGCGCCTGCGCTTAGATTAATATTACACGCCAAGCATGCTGTTTTGGTGGCTCCCCAGATCTTAAGCCATCTCTGTCCTACACGCTATGTAAAAGCACACCATCCCCTTTGTTGTAATGCTCCTTTCCCCACCGAAACCAGATGTTCAAAGAATCGCATCCTCGCACAGTAAACCCAATCAACGTGTGGGATTGGGCAGTTGTGGCGCCGCTACGCAATCGTCCCGACGCGAATGTCTATCACTATCATATAAACTTCCACGTGACTCACTTGAGCTGCAGTACCTTCATACTTCTAAAACTTTACAGTCGCGATGATATACGGTGATAATTATTTTTAAACGAGCTTTATCGAAAATAATTACCTTAACACGTGCAGTGCAATTTATTGTGATTGTGAAAATTATTGGTGGATTATAATCCAATTAAATGTAATTGCTGTAAGCGATTTATCAATGTGGAACAATTTATTTGAGATTTCCCTTACTTATGCAGACATGTAATTAAATTTTACGCCATTTGAATGTACGAAACAATGAGTTCTTATCAATTTGTAAACTCTTTAGCGCAGTGCTACGGTCAGCAACCACGCGCTGCGGCTGCTTCCGATCAAGCAGCCCACCAAGTATCTAGTCCTGGGTCCGATTATTATAACCCAAACGCGGCATCTGCATCTAGTTATCCACCGGCATGCTACTCGCCACCACAGGTAGGTCCTCAGTATCACCAGCATCCCTACGCGACCCCTGCCCCAGGACACGGCTTACAACCCGCAATGGGAGATTACACGCAACTGCAACCACAAAGATTAACGGGAACCTCTACACATATGCATCATTCAAGTCCGGGCGCTCAAAGTCCAGGCATATTGAATGCGGCTGCAAGTTGTAAATACGCCGATTCGACATCATCCACAGGGGTAGCTTCCCCGCAAGATTTGAGCACAACCGGTGCGCCCGCAAGAAGTACTCCTCCTATGTCTAGTAGTCAAACCAGTAGTAACGCAACGTTAACTGCCAAAAATTCAGCATTAACTTCACCCTTATCAGTCAGCACGTCACCTCAAGGAAAACAGCCAACTTCTTCGACAACTGCGTCACAAAATTTATCGTCGCCGGCATCCAGCACGAGCTCCACTTCAAGTACAGAAAAAACGGGAGGAAGTAATAATAATTCCAAGAATTCTACGTCTCAAAATCCCCCACAAATTTATCCCTGGATGAAACGAGTTCATTTAGGACAAAGTAAGTGATAATCTCTTTATTATTATGTAGTTTTAAAAAGGAAAGATTTCCGAGCGAAACTAGTTTAATTGTCTATCGTTAAATCTAGAATATAGGTCGTGTCACACTGTTGAAGGGCTGTGTTTCGGTCCGTAGAAGAGTAATAAATCAAATACGTATACACTTCGCCCGACCTTTAGGCCCCCATCTGCCCCGAAGTCGAGCGGTCATTTCCCGCCTAGACTTAACATTAAAATTTAACGTTTTGGACATTGAGATGACTCTCGCTCAGCGTACTTAGCATTGTTATTAATCGACCTACTCAATTTATAATATTTCTTTATTTAGATGTAATTTCATACATAACAATTACGAGATTGAAGATGAGATAATAACAGACCTGCAGTGCACTGCTTGGAGCACGATTTGCAAGCACAAGGTATTGTAACGCCCCTATGCAAAGGCAAGACAACTTTTATAGACGCACTCAAATAAAATCAAATAAACAGACAATAATTTAGCCATAAATCTGCCAAACGTGGGGACTCCTTATAATTTACTGTTAAAATAGGGTGCAATATTAATGGAAATATCTTCACCTTATACCTATAACTTTACTTAAAAGTATTTCCGTACCTTATGATTAAAAAAAGAAGCCTATAAGTTCCCTAATTTGACTGTTTTTAATCAATTAATATATGAATACAACGCAACTTAATTATATACCATAAGTTTTTGTAATACAGAATTAAATAAATCACTTGAACATCCTTATCATAATATAACAAAAATGTATGCGTCTACTTCTAACCGCGGTAATTATGATTTATTTCTTTACAAATTGTATAATATAATTAATTAGCGTAATGGATTTTAGTTATTTTAATTTACCTACTTCCTAATTGCACCAACTCACTTTCCAAACCTCTGTAAATTAATCAAATCATTGCTTGGCGCACTTTGCCGACGATACCTACCTAGATCTACCTCCAAACCTATACAGTTAAAAATTCAGAAGTAGGCTCGGAAGTAGGTATACATTTGACATCCGTGATAAATACTTACTCGTACCTATAGGTATACACACAAAAAATGAAAGAGAAAAAAAGGGGCTATTAATATTTAATTAATAGTTATTAATCATTTCAGTATAGGATAATAGCTTAATTAATGTGCAATTTACAACATGTAGCAAATTACTACCCACCTATATAGGTAACGGCCGCACCATTGTTTTGGCCTAAAGTGTATCTTCAATACAAATACAAATATAGGTAGATTGCTTCTTACTAACTTTGTGTGGTGCAACGGCCTTAGAGAATGGTTTGACCTTTATTATGCGATTTTATTCTCAATTCGAAGGTAATGCCCACGGTTATATAAAAAATTTAAGGCGTAAATAAAAATAAAGCCCTCTGCAGTAAATATATCATTAAATAAATAAATAACATAGATACGCGTTTGTTTGAGAGAGTGTGCGTGAATGACTTAATTTGAGTAGGCCTACAAACAATAAATAGATTTTTGTCTTCTTAGTAGAGAAAATATTCCAACTACATTTTTCAACACAAACTTAAATCTCGCATTAATAATGACTAATTTATCTTATATAAAATCTGTACCAACTGATATATTGTGTTAAATAAATCAAAAAGAACTGTTTGAAGTAGCCAAAACTATCTCGTAAATCAAACGAAAATATCGAAATTACAAGCTTTTTTTCATAAAATTTATGTATTTTTTATCTTAAGCGTGTTTTCAAAAATTGTATATAGAACATTACATCAAGGGCGAACAAGCGGTTAGTGTTAAGTGGCATATTGCCCCTCTTAATGGCCTGCTTCACTAAAGCAGCTACTAATACCTATATATTGATGGCTAGAAATTAAGTGACGGAAAGTTTCAAAGTGGGGTTCAGTATACTTTCCTTACTGATAATGTGGTCGTATTCTTTGTAATTTTAAATAGTAGGTAGTTATAAACTTTTTTATGAATCTAATAACACTTTTGTTTACATGCTTAACTCAGCTCGTAAGTATAACAATTAATATTGCACGACATATTTACCAATGTTAACTATAGATTAAAAAATTAGACAGGTAATGAATTTTATATAATTACGCTTATACCCTAACATTTATGCCGATGTTTTGGAAAATTCAATTATGAGAAGACACCATGCATATAGGTAGCTAAAAATTGGGAATTGTTCCATTAGATTAAGTGCGTGAGAAAAATGTACGTACGTAATATTTAAATATTTGTCAACTTTTACAGATTTATTAGAGATGAAAAATGCAATTTCAATTTTTTGGAAAAAAGAAAAAAAATGGCGCTATTAATAACTAATTAATAGTTATTAATCATTTCTGTATAGGATAACTTAATTAAAGGGCAATTTATAACATGTAGCAAATTACTACCCACCTTTAACGGCCGCACCATGTTTTGGCCTAAAATTAATCCAAATATAGACTGCTTCTTATTGTTTGTGGTGCAACGGCCTAGGAGGATGGTCTGGACCTTTAGTATGCGATTTTGTGCTCATTTCGTAAAAATAATTAACAACTCTACCTAATAATAATCATCAAATAAATAAATTATGTAATAGTAATTGGTAGTGCTATAGGTACTTCCTATCTAATGTTGTTTTGTAATGCATACTCCAAAAACTCCAAAAAACTCAGCAATATCCTTAGTTGGAGAATATCACACAAAAGAGGATCGTCGGATGGTGCCTCTGTGTATATAATACCTACATAGGTAATTATACTTACAACAGTCGTTCTCTATCTTTTAGACACTGTGACCCCCTTTGTGGGTTGCGTAATTTGCTGACCTCCCTATGACTTATGATTTTTAAATACATAATAAAACCGTCTACAATAGTTATAATTTTAATTAGGTATTACACATCCGAGTACACATCCTAGTACATAAGACAAGTTGTAAATACAGTAAAATTTACAGTAATTGTTTTGTAGCATGTAGACTCTCAGTGATCCGGCCGATATCAGACCGGAGTGCTGTCAGATTCGTGAAACTACCGTATTATTAGAAGGTCAGCAATAAAAACTCTTAAAATGCACAAAACAAGTGTTTTATGGTACCAGAACAACTAATAAAAGGTATTTTAGAATCAAAAATGACATATTCAAAAATTATCTCTAAGAAATAATATTTGTATAGTTCTGTAACCAAACTAAAAAATGAAAAATAAACACTGGACACCGCAACTAAGCGATCCTAGTCCTTTGTTTTCAATAGTTTCAGTAACGAAATCCCTCACCACGCTTGACAAAATACGCCGGCCGGATTACTGGAGTGCCGAACTGGCACAATACTGCAGATTATAGAGAGTCTACTGTACCTAAAAACACACCGATTTATGTGCGTCACTTCCAAACTCGCGCTTCTTTGTAAACAACTGTAGCAATAATTGTTTTTAATTTTGCTCCTGAGGTATTCCGCGACCCCCTTGGACACGTTCAGCGACCCCTTAGGCGTTCGCGACCCACCGGTTGATACCATTGACTGATAAGATGGAAAAGCATTGAACATTGAATGAGCAGGAAGCGGGATTATGGTTTTTTGAATACCTATCATATGCAATTCTCTATGGTGGAAACACTAAAATCTATAACCCGTAAATTTGATGATACTACAAGCTGGTGATGAAAAATGTATATCGCAAAAAATCTACTGTACCTATACTATACGTTGTCAACGAAAACAAGTGGAAACAAAATTTATTTAAGTATATTATGTATTATAGTACTACCTATAGGTAGTCTTTGTGAAAACATAAACACAATAATTCTCTAAATAATTTTCTGGCTCAAATTGATTAACATCAAATTAAAAGTAGGTATAGGGGTGGGCCCACTTTAACGTGAACATGGATTCGCTTACAGCAAAATATAATGCAAAGGTGCATTTGTTGCTAAATTTCACTTCGAGCAAGATGCACCTAATTCATGAATACTTAGGCATCAGGCATTTGCATTATTTATATACCTAATACCTAGAAACCAGTGTTCAAAAGGAGTTCCTTTTTGTTTAATGATGATATTTAGTATTACAAAATTGCTATATGTTGATATGTAGGTATGTAATATAAAAGTTATGAGGTTATGTTAGTACAGCAATATTCCTGTATGACAACAGAAACCAATCCTTGTATCAAAGAGTAAGGGTACTTTTTGCTTGTATTTACCTACGCATAATAATTATCCCCCACACTATCTCTTTCATCAACGCATTTTTAATCGTTTTACAATTTACATTACGGTTAAGTTATTTGTTTCATTACGCCCCTTTTTTGTTTATACGTGAGAACAAAGTGGTTTATAAATAATCATCATCTAAAGAACCCGTGTTCTCCCAATTGTGTCAGAGAGAGGCCTTTCCTCTCTTCGAGACGAAAATGCACGTTATCGGATTCAGTTATCTTCTTTATGTACTTACCTACTATAGTTATATTTTTAATGAAATTCTAATTCGTTCATTCTATTGAAGATTTTAGATTTAAAAATTGGGTGCACGCTTTCTTGTAAACAACACGCATTAAAGGTTAGTGCTGTAGTCTCCGAAACTTACGTATCATGAAACGTACCCTTTAGGTTCAGGCACTCACGCGCGGTGTGCGACGGCTTCGCCACTGGTTTTTATTTAGCAATAAATTCAGTTGGTTGTAATAAACTCATTTCGATCATATTTCATTTGGTTATTGATATACTATTTTATATTATTTCCTTTTGTTCACAGAGTACTTCAAAATATCACTAGGTATCTATAGCTAGATAAGTGGAATAGGTAGATACATCAGCTTCTGAATTTAACTGAAATAAAGTTAGTAAAAACAACGATTTTAAGCTTGGGTAAATCCAGGGGTAAATCGAAATGGTTGTTCTGAAATTAATAAAAATGTGCCAAATTCTTGATAGAACAGGTTCCTATCACCAACCGAAAATCGTACTTTTAGATGAGTGTTTTCAAAAATGGCAAGTGTAAGTAAAAAACGTTTCAC